ACGTCCCCACACCTTGGCAGGGCCCCCAGGCAGCAAGGAGCAGGCCCAGCCAGCTCCGGGGAGCCACGAGGGGTTCTCCCCATGAATCTCCTTCACTAAGGAGGGAAAGGAGGATGTGGCAGACCACGCAGGCCCTGGCACTTGGGAATGAGGAAGCCTGGGGGGGACATCCTCAATGTGGAGGTGGAAAAGGGTCCATGAAGTTACCTGACAAGAATTCTTCCCAGCTTCTTTATAGCCACAGAGCATCCCTTCCAGTACTACACTCTTCTTTGTTGTTATGGCTTTCTGAATCATCGTATTACACCTTTCATGGTGCATGATGTCTTGGTCGACCTCATGGAGAACAGCTGTAATGGGGTTGCCGCCTACACGGGAAGAAACTCAGCAGTGGGTGGTTGTGCCCAGGCGGACAGTAAGACCCTCAGCACCTAGAATCCACTTTGAAAAAAGCAGGGCAGTGGGTATCGTCTCCATTTGGCACCGGAGGAAATGGAGGCCCAAAGTAGACAGGGGGAGAAAAGGCTCAGTTGGTTAAGCGACTGCCTTCGGCTCAGGCCATGATCCTGGAGTCCCGGGATCGACTCCCGCCTCGGGCTCCCTGCTCAGCAATAAGTCTGCTTCTCCCTCGGACCCTCCCCCCTCTCATGCTCTCTCTCAAATAAATAAATAAATAAAATCTTTTAAAAAAAAAAGAGAGAGAGAGAGAGCATAAAGAAGAGCCAATCCGGATGGGAAGAGGGCAAGGTCTCACCAGCCCGAGAAATGATAATCAAGCATCTGTTACTCTGAGTATCAACAGTAATAGCGACAGGGATCCTGTGCATCAGCAAAGTGTCTTTACTTTTGAGCAGGATCACGGACTCTCGAAGGGGTAGTGCCCCAGAGTTACCAACCCAGCCTCTTCCCAGAGATAGGAGGCCCTACAGCCTCAGCAACAGAGACCTGGCTCTGCCTACACCTAAAAGCACAGGAAGCTCCCTGACAAGCAAGGCCAGTACTTTCGGAGATGGACAGCTCTGACGGGCAAACAACTCATCACCTGCTGAGCAGATACCCACCCCGGAGAGAACTCCAAAGCCTTTGGCTCCGTCCCCAGGGAACCTAAAAATACCCCCACACCAGACAGTCAGGGTCCCTCACAAATTTACAGAAAGAGACTTCACCCAGGTGTCTCTTCTCCTGAGAGCAGCTCCGGTCCCCGGGACCCGTGCCTTTCCTTAAATGACTACCATGAAATATTTGTGCTGCAACAAAAAACCTCTACCAATTTCCAGGCTCAAGCCAATCAGGAGCCATTACTCTGGCTGCGGCTAAACTGCCCCCCTCCTCCTCCAGGCAGTCCTCCTCCCTGTTCCTCTCTATAGACTTTTTGCCTACTTCAGGGTTGGGCTGCCTCCCTCTTCCTGGGTATGCTACCTGCCTCACAGTCTCACCATATTCCTCTTTTCTGCGCATCCAGTCACCCAGCACGTGGTCCCAGCTTCCACCCAGAAGGTCTTCTGAGGGATGCATACAGGCTGGATGGTCACAGTGAAGTTTACAGGGTGGAGGAGCTGGAGAAGGGCAAGGTCCTTTTGAATGGTTCCGACTACTGAGAGCTCGGGGTGGATGATGATGTTTCGGACGGGGATCACCACACTGGTGATTTCTTTATAGACACTCCGACCTCCCATCTTGACACTGTAGTGGAATTGGCTGTGGGAGAGAGGACATGCCCCTCATAGAGACCTCTTCCACACATTGCAGATGCTTCCCAGCCTGGCCCCAACGCCCCTCACCACTCTTTCTACCGGCCTATCACCCAACAGCCCTCCTTAATGCCTCTCGACATTGGTATGCTCATCCAAACGATTGGTTTTGTTCACTAAATTAGTACTCCTAGTAAGGAGACGGCCAGTGCCCAACCCAGCCCGTTTCTCGGGGATGCGCGCCCTGCCTGGGTTGGACTGGGTTTGGGTTTTGTCAAGTTGCTAGGGCAACAGAACCTAATGGGTATTTGAGGAGAGCAGGGCCGGCTTCAGAACTCGGTCTCTACTTGTCACTCCTCACCTTAAAATACAGTGGCCTGCAGTCAGCACCCACTGCTGTGTGATGAGGGAGCCTCTGCACACGTGTTTCTCGTTGATCCTCACGCTCACCTGCCAAGGCCACTTCCCCTCTTCGGCCTCCTTTCCTCCCAAGATTTTCGCAACTACTTGGCCACACCCTGGGGTGAGAACAGCGTGGGAGGAAGAACCTCAAAGAAACAGAGCCCGGGCTTCCCGGGAGAGCACCAGGTGCCCCTCGGACAGGGTGGGTAAAGGCCTTGGCCTCTTAGACTCCAGCGCAGTGCTGCCGAGTCCCCAGGCCCTGCACCCGCAGACCTCCAAGGCCACATGGCGTCCCACTCAGACTCCACAAGTGGGGCTACATTCCTCAGGCCCTCAGGGCACGGGAGGGGGGACCCCTGGCTCCCCCAGACTCCCCGGGGAGCACCGGCTCCCACTAGCGGGCCTCAGCCCCCTACGAGGCTCCCAACACCAGGTGTCACCTGGGATCAGTTCCACCAACTGGGAGAATACAGCAGCCTCTTGGGGCCCCGGGGTCGCAGACGGTCCCTCAACCCTCCCCAGGCTCGCGCCGGGGCCCTCGCGGCCGCCCCCCGACGACGACGACGGGGGGGGGGGGGCCGGGGAGGGTGGGCGTGGCGCGGACCCGTCCCGCGCCGCCTCCAGCTGGGGCTGGAGGAGCAGGAGCCAGAGCAGGAGGCTCAGGGAGCCGCCAGGTGGGGACGCCATGGGCCCGCCGGCGCCGCGCGTCTCACGGTGGCAGGTGGACCGGTCCACGGGGCGTGCGCGCGGCGGAAACGGCGGCTCCTAGCGCGGCGGGCCTGAGTGCGAAACATCGCACCCCCAGGTTCACCCGGGGCCTCTCTCCGCTCCGAGTCCCGCCGTACCCCGTCCAGGCCGCAGGGGCCGGGGTGCTTCCGAAGGCACTGCCCTTGACAGGGACCTCCCCGTTCCGGGGACACCGCCTGATGCCCCTGCCCCTTCTGGTGCGGTCTCTGGGCTGGAGCTGTTGAGGCCAGGCGGCCGGAGCATTACCCGAGGAGCCTTAATTCTCCATAATGGTTCCTCAGCTCAGGACTTCACCCACCAGACCGAGATTTTGGGGTGGGGGACTATACAGATTAAATAGTTCAGACAAAGGAGTAGGCTGCTGTTCTATTTCAGTGATAGTGGCGCCTTAAAAAATTAGCCAGCACCAAAGATACCTGCAAGTCAGTCCATTCTTCTTAGCGCTTGGTCCCTGGCATCCGTCCTGGTGGCGTGTCCTTTGTCTTTGTGGCCTAAAGGCTTCTGCTAGGCCTCTGCCTCTCTGGGCTTCAACCTCCCCGTTGAAGTCAGGGAGAAAACAACAATCACAGCTTCTGAATTGCAGTACTTCCCACTTTTCCCTGGCCAAAACGGGACAGCCAGTCACAGTGTTTTTCAGGAATGGGGATGCTCCCCCTGGCAATTTACGTCTCAACATCCTGGTGAAGGGGTTATTCTCTCGGGCCTTCTTGGAGGTTGGAGAAGTGAGGGAGTAGGTCATACATCATGAATCCCTTCCAATATTCTCCACTCTCTCTTTACATTCCGTTCTCTATGTTAAACCAAGGAATTTCTGGCATATCAACTTCCTTTAGTGTGGTCCACCATTGAGTTCAGGCTTCAAACAACCAGCATGTAGAGGCTGCAACATGTAGAATCATGCCCACCTGTCTGAACCAGGAAACCGAATTCAGAATTTCTGGTACGTGTACTCCTGATAAATGTGGGTTCAGGCCTCCCCAGTCAAGCAAGAGTCCTTAGAATCCAATCCTATCATACACCTCTGGTTTGTTCCGATGTAGACGAGAAAACTCTTGCAGTTCTTTTTGTAAGGAAGGCTTCTCCTCCTGGTTATACTTTGTACCTGTCCAAGAGCATGCTGGGATCTTACTCCAGTTACTAGGTCTAGACGCAGGGAAGACCTGGCAGGGGTGATACAGGTAAAGAGTTGGCATGCACTTATAATGTCCTCAGATGAAGTCAATACAGTGTCTCTAAGGTAAAGAGGACCAGCCTTATCAAATGGGAGGAGGCACTATTTCTACTGGCACGATAGGTTCAATCTGGCTGAGGATGAGGGTGTCCTAAATCTATCCAAATGTACCCCCATTTGAATTTTCAGGGTCTCTTTCCTGACCAATCCCCTAACTTTTCTTTAAAAGTTCTGATGAAGCTGTTACTTCAATTTATGTTGAAACTCAGCAACCCAAAATATTGGATACCACATCTTATTTTCATTTCAACTGCATCAACCCTACAGTTCTGCAGTATATGAACTTATTTTAGGGAAATCAGAGAAGGCTTTAATCCAAGAAGTTAAATCTCCAGATTGCCATTTTCTTTCTTTAAAATCATCAGTGCAATAAGAAATAACCAGCCCTTTTCACAATCTTTGTATTCTTCATTTCCACAATAACATCTATTGTGGCAGTCTTTGTGTTATCTTTTAATGAACTGTCAAATGTGAAGCATGGGCTAGTGTAAGACTTTAGAACTTCTAGGAGCTGCAGACACAAGGTGAGCTTGCACCCACTCATAGGGCCTTCTCTACAAACTCCCATCAGGTGTTCCTGAGAAAGATTTGCGGCAGGGCAAGAGACCAGAGAAAGCCTTGCTTACAGTACAGGCATTAGGGAGGGGAGCCGGAGCTGCTGTGAGAAAGGCATGATGTGTGGCCTGAATCCTTCAACTCTGTCCCCCATCCCACCAGGCAGCCAATACAAGACCCAGGCCAGCTGCAGCCACTGCCACCACCCCCACTGTCACTTTATGTGACCGGGTGAGGGGCACAAACCTGTCATTTTCAGGGCACAAGTTAAAGCCTACTATAGCTGGGTAAAGAGAACATAAAATAACGTCTACGCCTAAAGGGGGAGCCAGATCTTTGGAGATCTCTTATGCTGGGGGAGAATCAAGATCACTGAGAAGACCTCATCTCTGAGAGCCAAGAAGATAGGACCCGCCTAACAGTGAGGCTGAGCCAGAAAAACAAAGAATGCCTTCACCTCCACTACCAGGCTAGCAAGTGTCCAGGAACAAATAACAGCAGTTTACTGCTGGGGGGAGGAGTAAAAGCATGGAAAGGCATCCTCTTTGACACATAAGCACAGAGAAGACTGACAGCTGAGTGTAGAACAGACACAGAAAAAAATCCAACTAGTCAGCCATCATTCAAAGCAAAAAAATAACGGAAGAATTCGAAGCCTGGTACATAAGGAGGGTAACCACACAACAAAAAAACTTGGCATGATTATCTCAAGACTCTCTACTAAAGAGAAGACTTGCCCATTTCTGAACATATTGTTTGTTTTAAAGATTTTATTTATTTCTTTGAGAGAGAGAGTACAAGCTGGCAGAGGAGGTGGGGGAGAGGCAAAGAGAGAATCCCAAGCAGACTCTGCACTGAGCGTGGAGCCCGACGCAGGGCTCGATCCCAGGACCCTAAGATCATGACCTGAGCTGAAATCAAGAGTTGGACGCCTCACTGACTGAGCCACCCAGGCGCCCCATGAACATATTGTTTACGGAAGTCTCTATTCACCTACGCAGAATGACTAGCTTTCAAACAAAAATGATGAGATACACAATGAAAAGGAAATTGACAACACACTGTCAAGAGACAAACCAATCAACAGAACCAGATTCAGATAGGACATGGGGTTTAGAACTATTACACAGGGAATTTTAAATACTAGGATGAACATGCTCTAGCTGCCATCTTGCCCGTCCCCCCGCCCACCTGCATGTGTACACCTAATCTCAATCTCAGCTGGTATGTCCGAAATGCCCTGAGTGCCTACCCTGCCCCCCATTTCTACTCCAACAAGAGCGGAATTATCATGAACCAGGAGAAACTCACCAAGCTGCAAGCACAAGTGTGCATTGGTGGGAAAGGAACTGCTCACCAAAAGAAGGTGGTTCAAAGACCAGCTCCAGCAGATGATAAAAAACTTCAGTTCTCCTTAAAGAAGTTAGGGGTAAACAATATCTCTGGTATTGAAGAAGTGGATATGTTGCAAACCAAGGAACAGTGATCTATTTTAACAACCCTAAAGTGTAGACATCCCTGGCAGCAAATATTTTCACCAATTCAGGCCATGCTGAGACAAAGCAGCTGACAGAAATGCTACCCAGGATCTTAAACCAACTTGGTGCAGACAGTGTGACTCATTTAAGGAGACTGGCTGAAGCTCTGCCCACACAATCTGTGGATGGAAAAGCACCACGTGCTACTGGAGAGGAGGATGATGATGAAGTTCCAGATCTTGAGGAGACTTTTGGTGAAGCCTCCAAGAATGAAGCAAACTGAATCGAGTCAACTTCTAAAGAAGAAAAACCTTGAAGAAGTTACTGGGAGCTGCTACTTTGTAATTATGACTGCTTTTTAAAATTTTGATCATGGACCTGATAAAAATCTAGGTCTCTAATATTTTTAAGCCCAAGCCTGTTGGACATTGCAGGTCTTTTCAGTTTTTGCTTATACACAATTCATTCTCTGCAACTAATTAAGCTGAAGAGGCCTGGGAATAAAGTTTGAAACAAGGTTAATAAAGTTCTTTACGTAGTATACATACATACATGCTATGATGAACATATTTGAAGGCTCTAGTTCAGAGGTCAATAAATGTTTTCTAAAGAGGGTCAAATAGCAAATATTTTAGGATTTTGAGGTACAAGTAAGGATATTATGTAGGCTTCTATAAAAAGAAGGAAGGAAAATTTTCCATGAAAATATAGTAATAATAGTAATTGGATATAACATTTTGTAATACCAATCTAATGAGAAGAATTTGGGGAGAATAACATTTTACTTAATTGGTTCAAAATTAGTGTTCTCCATCATCAAAATCAATTGCAAATTTTCTGTAATGGTGATCTATAATGGTATTTTATGCATTTAATCTTTTTAATGTCTTTTCGGGGCACCTAGATGGCTCAGTCATTAAGCGTCTGCCTTCAGGTCAGGTCATGATCCCAGGGTTCTGGGATCGAGTCCCACTTCGGGCTCCCTGCTTGGCGGGAAGCCTGCTTCTCCCTCTCCCACTCCCCCTGCTTGTGTTCCCTCTCTCACTGTGTCTCTCTCTGTCAAATAAACAAATAAAATCTTTAAAAAAAATAAAATGTCTTTTCATGTAGATAAGTGCTGCCCAATGCTGACATTAATCTGTGAATATATAGCTTTGAGCATATTCTTCACTTGGAAGGCATTTATTGAGCTATATAAGGTTTTTCTCTTGATATTTGCCTTTGTCATGTCATTAGATTGCAAATTAATCATTTCACTGAAGTTTAGGTGGAAGCTGCTCAACTACACTTAACTGGATTTTGAAATATGTAAATTTCCTTTGCAGCACTTACACAGAGGTCCAAAAACTACTTCTGGAGTTGTAGCAGAAAGCTCAGAAAATACATTCACTGCAAATTTGTGTGGGAATGCATATCTTGCTTGTTTTAACTTTTCACAGCACGAGAACTGTATAAGGCAGCTTGACATAACTTCTGATTCAAAAAACATTAGCTATCACCAAAATGACTTTACCGTAGGATAGACAGCAACAGAAAACTAGCAGAGGATGAGAAAGAAGAAGAGAGGATACCAATATAAGGTCCTTGCACTATTTAAAAAGCAGATACTATTGTTTGAAGGAGGAGGGCAATTAGTTAAAGATATACACTGTAAACTCCAGGGAAGCCAGGGGAAC